CGCTCTACTGTGGACTCCAAGAGAGCAGACTTTGGTGTCTTCAGGGATCTGCTTGTTAGAGTACCATGTTTACCCCATGAGAGGGAGGGAGGGAAGCCCTAGAGGGAAGAGGGGCCCAAGAAAACTGGTTAATATTCAAGGATCACCTCTTCCAAGCTCAGGAGTAATGCATCCTATCAAAGAGGTAGTCAGGCAAAAAAGCCAGGAGGCCTGCATGGATAAACAAGTAGCTCCTGGACAAACTCAAAACACAGAATGGAAGCCTACAGAGGGTGAAAGCAAGGACAGGTAGCCTAGGAGGAATACAGAAAAAATGCCATAGTACTCAATGACTTTTTTGCCTCAATCTTTGCTCACAAGTGTTCCAGCCACACCGCCCAAATCATAGAAAGCAAGGACAGGACTGGGAGAATGAAGAACCAACTGCTATAGGAGATGATCAGGTTCGAGACCATCTAAGGAACCTGAAGGTGCAGAAGTCCATGGGACCGGATGATGAGATTCGCAGGTCCTGAGGGAACTGATGGGTGAAGTGTCCAAGCCATTATCCATCATATTTGAGAAGTTGTGGCAGTCCAGTGAAGTTCCCACTGACTGGAAAAGGAGAAACATAACCTCCATTTTTAAAAAAGGGAAAAAGAAAGACCCAGGGAACTACAGGCCAGTTAGTCTGACCTCAGTGCTTGGCAAGATCCTCCTGGAACCTATGGTAAGATATATCGAAAAGAAGGAGGTGAATGGTGACAGCTAACTTGCCTTCACAAAGGATAAATCATACTTGACAAATGTGGTTGCCCTCTATGAAAGGGTTATAGTGGTGGTGGTGAAGTGAATAGCAACTGACATCATCTGCATGTACTAATGCAAAGCATTTGACACTGTCCAACATGACATCATTGTCTCTAAACTGGAGAGACATGGATTTGATGGATTGATCACTTGGAGGATAAGGAATTGGCTGGATGGCTGCACTCATATTTGTGGTCAATGTCTTAATGTCCAAGTGGAGACCAGTGATGCATGGCATTCCTCAGGGGTCAGTATTGGGACTGGTGCTGTTCAACGTCTTTGTCAACAACATGAGTAGTGGCCTCAGTAAGTTTGCCAACAATGCCAAGCCATGTGATGTGGTCAACACACCAGAGGGAGGGGATATCATCCAGAGGGACCTTGACAGGCCTGTGCAAACCTCATGAAGTTCAGCAAGACCAAGTGCGAGGTCCTGTACCTGGATCAGGGCAATCCCAGGCACAAATACAGGCTGGGCAGAGAATGGATTGAGAGCAGCCCAGACCGGAAGGACTTGGGGATGTTTGTTCTCATCAACATAAGCTGGCAATGTGCACTTGCAGCCCAGAAAGCCAACTGTATCATGGACTGCAACAAAAGATGTGGCTAGCAGGTCAAGGGAGGTGATTCTTTTCCTTTATTCCAGTCTGCTGAGAGCCTGTCTGAAGTACTGTGTTCAGCTCTGGGGCCCCAAACACCAGAGGGACAAGGGTGAAGATAGTGAGAGGGGCTGGAGCATCTCTCCTGTGAAGACAGGCTGAGAGAGTTAAGCTTGTTCAGCCTGGAGAAGACTCTGGGGAGACCTTATAGCAGCCTTGCAGGACCTAAAAGGGGCCTACAAGAAAGCTGGAGAGGGGGCTTTTAAGGGCATGTTGTGATAGGACAATGGGGAATGGCTTTAAGCTGAAAGAGGGTAGATTTAGATTAGATATTAGTAAGAAATTCTTTACAATGAGGATGATGAGACACTGGAACAGATTGCCCAGTAAGATGACATGACAGTAAGCTTCTGTGTCTGTTCCAAAACTTGATATTTAAAGAGATGAAGTAACAGTTTTTACCTTTTTGATTACTTGAAATGAAAGAGTACATTTGGAAAGAAAGCATAGTGATGTGGGATATTTATTCCTGATTTTTTTTATGATTATTTTTATGTTGTACAGGCTAAGATTGTTATTGTATGTGTATATAGGACTGTACCCTTGAGCTGGAAAACAGAAATCCTTATTTCTTTTGGTCTTTCTTTATCTACTGTTTTTAATCAAAGATGCAGAAAGAAAAAAAAAAAATTGCTGCATGTGGCTAAGCTTTCAGTGGGAGGGGCAGAGGACAGTCCCAGGAAGCCTAGCACATGAGTCCCTGTGCTGCATGGGCCTCGATCCCTGACATGGTAGCTACAAGTAAGTTAAAAGTTAGTGAGTTTACAGGAATTTTCACCATACTTCTTCATAGCCACTAATTTTATTTATTTATTTATGTAACTGAAATCTTCATTTGGTTGAAAAACTATGTAGCTGTAGGGGATATCATGACAAAGTTTATGCTGGGGCAGTTTCTTAAAGATCTTTACAACAGTTCCCCACTTCCTCTTCTGTTGTAGTTTTCTGTAAAAAAAACACAAGAAAGATACTAAGAAAGATACTGTTTTCCTAATGAAGAATTGTATGCTGAATTAGTACAATAATTGTGTCAGTTATTTGATGTGGTGGCAAAGTGTCTAGAGCTTTACTGGTGGTAATTGATGCAAACGGAATTATTTTGTTGATCTGTAGCTTTTACAAAGAACTAACAAACCTGGAATGACAATATTTTTCAACTGCTGTTGTCTTGAGCTGGATAAGTTATGCTACCTATTCTTCCATATGCAATTTAATTTTTTTTCCATGCAGCTGATTTTCCCCTTTTATTTTTTAATTTATCTTGCTATGTTTACACATATGCAAATAATAATTTTAAAATGGCATATTTTTATTAAATTGCATTTTCTGAACAATGTAAATCTGTGCTCTATGAAGCTATTAGGTACAACTGCATTTCAGCTCACTTGTAGTGAGGGAAACCAGAAAGACAAAAGTGCACACACACACATTTACACACTAAAATCATGACATGTGCTGGGGGAATATAAGATAATCTTGAAGAAATAACCTTTCTGCAACAGTGCTTTTCTGTGTCTGGCTACCTCCAATAGAAATGTAGAGTAAACATACCCTGTGACAGATGAACTGAAGCTGTGATGCAATGGGACTGAAGAAAATCATCTATCTGTAAAGAACACAACTTTAGAGAAAACTAACTATATCATAGTAAGGGCATCGGAGATAGACGTCTTCTTTCTTGTGGAATCTTTGGACTTCTGTATATTACCACACACACGATGTGCTAGCCTTGGTAAATGTTGCAGATTATTTAGAATGAACGCATTTTATTTTAAAAAAAAAACATGTTAACTACTGCTTTACATTAAGATATCTAATACTTCCAGTAACTTAATATGAATTTACTTCACATGTTTCAAAATGAAAACATGGTCTCTATCTGGAATAAAAAGTAAACTGGTATTTAGCATTGTATTTCATTGAGAGGACACAGTAGCATCATTTGGAAAAAAAAATGCAGTTGCTTATTATTAGGATAACCATTTAAGGGGCCTTAAGGCTTTTAAATGGGTGATGCATTGGCACTGGAGGAGGAATAACACTTGTTATTTCTGTCCAACTGGAAATCTAATATCACAGAAGTGCATGTATTTAAAATAAAGGCTGGCTTCAAATACAAGCATAGAGCGGGAAATATCAGTTATTACTTGGTTGATTAGATTCTGGAGAATAGAGAGGAAATCTGCAGAGGCCACATCTACAGGTCATGCTTCCAAATAGATGTGTTAGTTAATGCACCTATTTGCTAATCTGCACACTTTATTATCAGTAGTAAGTTCTTAAAGTTGGGCATATGACTATTGCCCAGCTATTGGGAAGTGTAGATTAGAGATGCTGGGGTAGCAAAGGAAAGAATTAAATGGGCTTGAGGAGTAGGAATGTTTTGAGGGAGCAGGGACCAGATGTAAGTATAGCAGTGAATTAGGAGGGAGGGAATAAGATTACTTTAGTATAATTGGGCATGAAAAGTAGGATAAGAATTCATGCAGATGCAAAATGAAAACAGAGAATCATTCTCATGTTGATTGAAAGAGTCAAAAGTCAACTGAAGGCTTATCTCCCTGAAACTAATAATCTTGTGTCCAACACAGTTTGGATTCATGCCAAGAAGCAGAGCTGAAATGATTTACAGATACAGAGGGATTTTCGCTTGTGAATTAGTGAAGAGCAGATGTCCACTGTTGTTCTCTATTAGACATTGCTAATTGTTTTGTCTGGGAGAGGTATCCAACATTCAAAATGCTTCAGCGAGGAAGCATTGAAGCCTCTGCGCAGGAAACTCAAAACTTGCACCAAATAACGAAGTATGTTTCCCTCTTACACAGGCTGCTGTGTTTTCACTGTTTGCTGCATTAGCCTTCTAGAGAAGTCTAGATTGGATTGAAGTTTCTGCCCATTAGGCTTGAGGTGTTCATTACTCTGGGTTCACAGCATTAATAGATAAACCTCTGGTATAACAACTGTGACTGACAGCTCTCCTCCTCCGCCCAGTGTTGCTTGCTTTAGTAATTGCAAAAGAGAGAAAATGAGCTGTCTTAGGGCTGGTTTACACCAGTTTAATACCTGATTCAGAAATTAAAACTGTACCATTGAGTGAGAAGAGTAGATTTCTTTGACTTTGATTATTTTTATTTTTTTTTCTTTTCAGGAGCATAACTGTGTAGAATATAAAATGCTCCCCTGTGTGATTTTCTCTCACTTACAGAGAGTTTGAAATAATAAACATACATAACGTTGGGAACATTACTTAATGAGCTTCTAGTGGGTGCAATGATGTTGAACCCATTTTTGGCATACTTTGAGAAAAGTGTCATTTGATGGCAGAACAAATATACACTTCGAGGAATGTTCCATGATTTTTGTGTGGAAAAGGAATGTTTCAGATATAGCAAGAATTTTCTTCTACATTTAACTGATTGAAATAGGTTGTTACATTCAGTAAGACAATGTTGTTGAAATACTGCTAAATAAGTAAGTAGTTGTAAATATTAATAGAGATACCTACATATAGGCACATATATAAAACCCAAAATGTATATATTTGTCTTGCAGGGGTTGATAAGATGATTCGTCATTTACACAAACACAATATACCCATGGCTGTTGCCACCAGCTCATCCGAAGAGTCATTTCGGATTAAAACAGTCAGACACAAAGACTTCTTCAGTCTTTTTCATCATATTGTGTTGGGAGATGACCCTGAGGTGAAGTCTGGCAAGCCACAGCCTGATGCATTTCTAGTTTGTGCAAAGAGATTTCACCCTCCTGCACCTCCAGACAAGGTAAGAAGGGAAGACATTGTCTGAAAAATTAGGAATACTCTCTTTGGACTGTATTTGGATTTGGTTTTTGTTTTGTTTTGTTTTGTTTTTTTTTAATGTGATAAATACTTAGATTATCATACAATATATACATTAAACATTAAAAAGCAGCTTCTGTTTTTAAAGGTGTTTGTGCTGTTGAAGCAAGAGATTGTTGGAAAGTATTGTTTTCCCCCACTATGTAGAATGTTTGTGATGCAGATTGCTCTGATTTACTACTTGGTAGTGTTCAGTAATAGGAAAGGGTAATGATTTTCCATTCTATACATAAATCTGGAAGCTTAACTTCACTTCTCAAAGTTTGGAAACAGTTATTTAAACATAGATCAGTTTAGTTATCATACATTCAGGGCTGATTTACCTCTTAAGTGTCTAGACATTAAAGATACTTCTTTGTAAAGAGGGCATATATTTTTTTTTTATGCCATCTCTTTCCTCTTGCATTCTAAATCTCTGAAATCATAGTTCTTGTTTCTTGATTTAAAACCAATCAGTTTGAGCAATCTTTCTCAAGTAGTAGAGTTGTTTAGTTTCTTTCTCTTGTGTGTAATTTTCCAAACTTGATTCTGAAATAGGAAACTGTAGGGAGAATATTTGAAAGATAAATGGAGGGTTAGTTAAAATAATGTCTTTGCTTTTATTTTAAATTAAATTGCCTTTCTCCTTAAAATACTTTTCTCACTTCTTGTCTGTCCTGAGTAGAACATTAAGTTCTGAAGGTTTGGAGTTTCATTACTACAGAAAAATGTGTTACATACTAATTATTAAAGAACAACTTTGGGTGGATTAGACTGTGATTACTGTTTTCTCAGTAGGATTGTTCAGTAAAGAATGGTTACACAAATACGTATGGAATGATTAGCTAAGATTCTTCAGCTTTTCATACTTTAAGTCGTCACATACAGTCTAAATGGTATTTGGTTGCCTTGGAATACAAAGTGAAATGCTTGATGCAATGTGACATACTATGAACAGTATTAAGCAAACCAGATTTGGTTTTGGTTTGTTTTTTTGTTTTGTTTTGGTTTGGTTTTTTCTGTTGCAAGTTCTCTTGACGTTGTGTGTGTATATACCGCAACTTCATTTAGAAACTCAGATGTTCAGAAAAGGTACACCAAATGTATTGGTCATATTCATGCAGATGGCAGTTGTAATGGACATGGTAGGTACTTTTTTGAGTAGGCCTTGTATGTATGGTACATTCCAAATGTTGAAGAATCTGAGCAACAAGGCTGTAAATCTCAGCACAGAATCAAGTAATGAATTTCGAACATGTTAATACTCAGCGGACAGCAAATACTAGGAAGCAGCACAAGGTTTTGGATGGAGTAAGAGAGAAGTTGAAAGCTTAAACTGCAGCTTAATGTTGCTTTCATATAAAATTATTCTCTCTTGTTTAAGTGTATGTCAAGGGAACAAAAATCAGAGTATGTTCCTGTCATGTTACATGGTATGTTTTTTGTGAAACAGGGTGAGAGGTGTGTAATGCATGCTTTCATTGACTGCAGGTGTGGCTGTAAGCTGTTCTGTAATTCTGAATGTAAAAGCGCAGAAAGTATTGAGATTTTAGATAAAGCTGGGTTGTAACTGGTATTGTGTCTGAAGGAGAGGTAAGGAAATTGAATGTCAGCTGTGTTAATGACAAATTAACTTGTTTTTTAATGTGAGGAACCTAAGACTAAGATCTAGAGGGACAGCTTTCCCAAAACGCTTACTTTATTTGGCTCTATTTCAAAAACGTCACAACGTGGTAATAATTAAAAAGGATAAACCCATTAAAAACCGAAATCAAACAGCAACAAAGTCAGTGACACTTTTGTAGGTATCTTTATTTATTCATCAGTAAATAGCTTTAGCTGTGTTAACAATGAAAAAATATTTGAAGATACTAGTAGCATCTGTATTACCTTTGAAGCTTAAAATTACTAAGTGTATGTTAGACAAAATTTCAGAGTGTTCACGGTAGTTTTGTATAGTTATTTTCTTTAACCAGATAATTCAGCTGAACTATTTTTTTGTCGCACAGAAGTCACAGATGTCGAAGTGTGGGTATTTAGTATAAGCACAGAAATTCCAAGAAGAAAATGAATACAGTACACATGAAACTATATGAAATGTTAATGACCAATTGCAGTGTAGTCATAGCATCTGCAGTGTTAGTCCCAAGCAGTAAACTAACAGAGCTACAGGTTTGGATTTCATGCTAAAGATCAGTAACATGCAAGGTTGCAGGGGGTATGGATAATGTCTGCATAAGCAGGTAATTGGACTCAGGAGGAACAGATTATTAGAGCAATGTATTTGGTGCTTAGGCCCGTTCATCTATGCTATATGTGGTTTGAATGTTTTCTCTTGGGTTAAATTTACTCTGATCCCTGGCTGAAAGCTGTGTAAGTTTTATTTGAGCTTTATGTCTGCTTAAGTATTGGAGGTTGCTTGATACGCATCTGGAGAGGATTCCACTTGTAACTTCCTGCTAGTACACACCAGAACTACTTAGTGAAACAAACCATTAGGTAGCAAATGAGGACTCTAGGATTTGCTTCAAAACTTCACTGCTGCTCCAAGCAAAAAATACAATGTAGCCAGAGAAGGCCAAGTCCAGAATTTAGCATTAGTGGCATACCAGCCTGCGACTTGCTGTGCACGCACACCTCTACAAGTAGGCAGTTCTAAAATGATATAGAAGTGGATATGATGTCATAGAATCATAGAATGGTTTGGGTTGGAAAGGAGCTTTAGATCATCTAGTTCCAACCCCCTTGCCATGAGCAGGGACACCACACACTAAACTATGTCACCCAAGGCTCTGTCCATCCTGCCCTTGAACATCTCCAGGGATGGAGTATTCACAGTTTCCTTGGGCAACCCATTCCAGTGCCTCACCACCCTCACTGTGAAGAACTTCTTCCTTATATCTAATCTAAACTTCCCCTGTTTTAAGTTTGAAGCCATTACCCCTTGTCCTACCACTACAGTCCCTAATGAAGAGTTCCTCCCCAACATCCTTATAGGCCCAGTTCAGATACTGGAAGGCTGCTATGAGGTCTCCACGCAGCTTTCTTTTCTCCAGGCTGAGCAGCCCCAACTTTCTCAGCCTGTCTTCATAAAGGGAGGTAATCCTATTGTATCAAAATCCTAGCGAGAAAAACATGAATTGTGCTACCAAGAAAGCAAGAATATTTCATTGTCATGAGGTACTTGGGAGCATTATGTCCCCAGCAAAATGCTCATAGTCACACGTCACATGCCATGCTCCTTTCCTTTTTGCAGTCTCTCTATAAGCCATGTAAGCCTGAGCTAGAGGAAAAATTTGTTCTGACCCTAGGTCTGGTAATCACATTAACTCTGGAAGTATACAAGTTCTTGAGAAGCTTCTCATTGCCATTAGGATCATCAGTGCTTCTTGTTTGGTACCAGACATGTCTCCCATAAATCTCTGGTGGTTCAGGATCTACCTGGAAATGTGACAGTGGAGGAACAGGGCACTTGCAGGTTTGGGTAGACTGCTGGCACCAACAGTGGAATGTGATCTGACTCAGTTAAGAATAGAGGAACAGCAAACCCAATGTTGGTCAACATACCTTCCAGCAACATTGCTGTCTTCCCATTTGCTGATCCTCTCCTAAAATGTCATGATTGTACATCAGGGAATTTTTTAAATGTTGACCTTTTGGTTTGCAGTCTTCGGTTAACTAGGAACTTAATAAGCATAATCATGAAACCACAGCACAGGAATTTCAAACAAGATACATTCTGTGCATTCAGCCTATGTCTTAATATATTGTGATGCATGAAGTTTCATGTGAACTTCCAACACTAGGAACAGTGCACTGTCATATGAGTAATTAATTAAGTCAGGTAATCAAAATACCATCTGCAGATTAAATACTAGAAGTTTTGTTTTCTAAAATTAAAATTTATTTTAAAAGATATATATGACAAATTATGCTCTCAATTACATTGATGCAACTTACATGAAAACCAGCTGGAGCTGTACGTATGTAGAAACAATGTGTGCTAAAGTATGTTAATGTTTAAAACACTGTGTTTTTTTCCATGCATTTTAATTAGACACATGAAAAAAGCATTTTTAACTATTACTTTATTTTTTCATTATCTTTTATCATTTATTAT